CTTCTCTCTCTCTCTCTCTCTTTCTCTCTCACTCACTCACTCACTTACACACATCTCGCTTTCTCAGTCTCTATCTGTCTCTCTTTATATCTATCTGCTTGTCTATCCGATTATTTCTCTATCTTTATCTCTTACTCTTTCTCTTATATTTTTTTCGGTATCCATCTCTCTATCGCTCTTTCTGTCTACCTATCTACATATTATTTTTCTCTCTATATCTACCTATCTATCTCTTTCTCTCTCTCTCTCTCTCTCTCTCGTTCGTTCTTCCTCCCTCATTCACTCACTCCCTACCCCGCCTCTTCCACCTACCCTCTTCTGCCCCTCCTCCTCCTCCTCTCCTTCTCCTCTACCCCCCCCCCCCCGTACCCAGATCTCCGACCCGGACGAACCACTTTCCCCTTCCGTTCAACACGTGGGGGGGGTGAAGAGGGGGGACTGGGGTTTAGGCGAGGGGGGGGGGCGGGCGAGAGGGAAGGGAAGAGGTGGATGTTGAGTTTAGGAAAGACTGGGGAGGGAGGGGGGAGGGGGGAGGGGAGGGGAGAAGATTAACCCTCCGGAGGTGGAAGGGTGGAGGGAGGAGGGAGGAATAGTGGGGGAGGGGGAGGGGCAAGGGGGTAGGTAGAAGGCCGGAGGGAAAGGGGGTCGTTGTAGTCGTCTTTGAGAAAGGAGAGCGGCGGGAGGGGGAGTCTGAGGAAGAGGAGGGCGTGGTGGGAAGGAAGGCTGAGGAAGGGGGGGGGAGGGGAAAGGAGGGGGAGGAAGGGAGGGGTACGGGAAAGGGGGAGGTCGAAGAGGTATTTTGATATTTGGTATTCTGGTAAACTGGAATGTTGGAATGCTGGTATTCTAGTAAACTGGTATTCTGGAATGCTGGTATTCTGGTAGACTGGATTACAAGGTACAGTCAGAAAACAAAGTATCAGTACCCTTTGCACGAACTAATATGAAAAATCGACGAAGTGGTTTGGAATACCTAGGCAAGGTAGTTACCACCGTAATCAGGTATTAACAGAGAGCATAGTTCAGTTCCTCATTGCACTCAGGTAACAATAGGTTACCTGAGTGCAGTTAAGTTTTTTTTTTATTGTACGTTGTTATGGCTAGAGACTGAGTATAAGGAAGATAAACAGATAACAAAAGGATAGTGAGGAAAATCGCACGATCAAACATCGACGGCCGAACAGAAAATTATGAAAGTAAGAAAAAAAACAGGAATTCCCGGATGTGAAGGAAGAGGGAGAACCACGGGGAAAGATCAGTAAATAGAAAGGCATCAAAGTGAGTGTTGAAAGTAAAATTAAAAGAGAGGGAGACAGATAGACAGAGAGAGAGAGGAGGGAGTGGGAGAAAGAGAGATAGACAAAGAGAGAGAGAGGGGGTTAAGAGAGAGAGAGAGAGAGAGAGAGAGAGAGAGAGAGAGAGAGAGAGAGAGAGAGAGAGAGAGAGAGAGAGAGAGAGAGAGAGAGAGAGAGCCAAACTGAGAGACAGAAAGAGAGAGAGAAAAAGGTGAATTAGAAGGAGAAAGAGAAAGTAAAAGAGAAAGAGAGAGAAAAAGACAGAGAGAAAGAGAGAGACAGAAAAGAAAAAGGGAGGGAAAAACTATACAGAGAAACCCAGCCATTGACGTGGAAGTGACGTGTGTCCAGCCCACTCTTAGCGCCAGAAGTTCCTCTTTCTGACTAAACCACTTTCGATTCCTCGGGTATATCTTTGGGTCGAACTCGCCCACGCTCCTGGTAGACGGTGTTCTGTCAGTATTCATTAGAGGGAACTGTTTATTTCGTGTTCTCTCTCTCTCTCTCTCTCTCTCTCTCTCTCTATCTATCTATCTATCTATCTATCTATCTATCTACCTATCTCTCTCTCCCTCTCTCTCTCTCTCTCTCTCTCTCTCTCTCTCTCTCTCTCTCTCTCTCTCTCTCTGTCTCTCTCTCTCTCTCTCTCTCTCTCTCTCTATCCCTCTATCTCTATCTATCTCTCTATATCTCTATCTCTTTCTCTCTTTCTCTCTTTCTCTCTCTCTCTCTCTCTCTCTCTCTCTCTCTCTCTCTCTCTCTCTCTCTCTCTCTCTCTCTCTCTCTCTCAATAAAGGGGACATCAAAGAGAAAGATTTTATTGCGTAGTGATTGTTGTCTGTTGGTGAGACATCCTAATTTCTCCCTCTCTCTCACTTGTTCTTCCTTTCTCTTTTTTTCTTGTTTTGTTATTCGTTGTTTCCTTTTCTTTTGCTCTCTCCCTCTCCCTCTCTCTATCTATCTATCTATCTCCACCCTCTCTGTCTCTCTCCTGCCTATCCCTCTCAACCTCCTTCTCTCTCTTCATCTCCCTTTCTCTTTCCTTTTTCCTCTCCTTCGACCTCTCTCTCTCTTCCTCCCCTTGTTTTAATATACCATACCCCAGTGTGCAAAATAAGACAGTGCCTTAGAACTGACTGTAAATGACCTCCGAACCGTAAAGTAATCATTCTACCTCTTCATAAGAATACCGCAGTCCTACTAAGAGTACATAGACACCTCTTATTTAAATAGTAGGTCACACCGAGCTTCTTCCTCTTGCGACCTACGTAATACACCCTCCGCGTACCACAAAGCGATGGCGTTTTTCTGTTTTCTTCTTTTTTTTTCTTCTTTTTTTTCTCAACTCATCCCAAACCTGTTTTTTTTCTTCTTCTTCTTCTTCTATTCTTTCCTGTCTCTTTTGCCTGATTATGACACTAACCGGATTTCAGCCGGCCCTACCTGCAGAAGGCATGAAAGTAGCGCCGCGGGCAATGTGGCGACCTTTCGAGCGGTCTTTTGAAGGAGGTGGGGTCTTTTTTGGGGCCATTTTTTCCCCCGTTGTGTTTAGGGGAGGGGAGGGAAGAGAAGAAGGGGGAGGGGGGGTGCAATCGGACCTGTTACTACACATTTGGGGAATTGGAACTGCATTTTTTTCTTCTCTCTCTCTCTCTCTCTCTTTTCCTCTCTGTCTCTCCCTCTCATTGCTCTCGAAGGGGAACCACGTGTGTGTGTAGGGTTCTATTGCCTTTTAAACGTGCTGAGGGGAGGGTACCTTTCTCTTGATCTCCCTTTCTCTGTTGTTTTTTCTTGGTCGCTAGTCTATCTGCCTCTCATTTTTTTCCCTTTTCTTTCCCCTATCTCTCTCTCTCTCTCTCTCTCTCTCTCTCTCTCTCTCTCTCTCTCTCTCTCTTTCTCTTTCTCTCTCTCTCTTTCTCTCTCTCTCTCTTCTCTCTCTCTCTCTCTCTCTCTCTCTCTCTCTCTCTCTCTCTCTCTCTCTCTCTCTCTCTCTCTCTCTCTCTCTCTCGTTTCTGTAAACCAAAGCACTGTATCATAAACTGAATAATGTCAATAAAAGCTAAACATTCTGCTCAGCCTGCAAGGGCGATTTGCAAAACGTTTTTGTATATTTCAGAATTGTAATTCAACAAGTCGTGCTATCTGTTTAACCCATGCAATTTCGACCTATGCTTTGGTCACTATTACACAGACGTCAAGTCATGCAGTAAATATAAGAGTGAGTCAGTCAGGAGGCAAAATAATGATATAGGTTACTTGAACGAGTTGCTTAATTTTAGACATATGAGATCCACAACTGCACTATTACAGTTCTACTCTTTTTTTTGTATTAGATGTATCCGAGATTCGCCGTCAGCAAGTACATTTACCCCAGTGCTTTATCTGATATTAATAGCAATTACTGTTTACCATAATCATCCCTACATTTTTTTTTTCACCAAATCTCCATTTTACCTCCAGACAAACACTGATAACAATAGATTATTGGGATTGTCGTAAGCACCTTATGAAGATGATTCGCTTAAGATCTTTCTTTACTGTATGACGTAGGTAATAACACTATCGCAAATTATTTAGTTCTACCTGAGGCATTATACTTAACCAAAGTAAAACGCAGAGATTACTTCATGAAAATTATATGATCTTTGTAACCTTATGAACAGTAAGCATCACCAGAGGCAGTAAGGACGGTAGGCAAACCTGCTTAGGTCATATTTAATATTTCAAAGACAGTAATAAGAAATGAGTCCAATTTGGTACTAAATACTTGGGTTATGAAAAAGGGCATTAACCTGTAGGCTTGCCTGGAGCAACGCGCCATAACGGTGCCAGTTATCAGTCCTTTCTCCGTTGTGGGATCAGCATGTACCTATTATCATTATCATTATTTATCTCACGAAATGCGGTAGTGAAAGTAACAACAGGATACTCAGTATGATTTCTTGGTCACAGATTTATATGCCGTCCTAGTTCGTCTTGGCAATAAGATATTAAGCGTCTTCATAATAATATACTTCTTGCGTGATACATTATCCATTTCCTGTGAGTAAACGCCAATAAAAGTTTTTGCTTGCCACAACGAATCCCCGATAGTTTATTGTTCACACCGTAGTTTCAAAGCCACGATATTCGCCGTGACCGTGACAACCATGACAGTGTGACGTGACAATGAACATCAACCTCCATTGTCTGTCTGGCTGCAGTGAGGGCACGAGGACTCTCGAACACGTTTTATATTGTTTCCTTTCACGTTCCATTAGCTGTGTGAGTATCAGGATGTGCAGATAGCTCGTGCTCCGCTCACGTATTGGAAGGTGAACACTAATCACCGGAACAATCATCTAGAACTATGCTTAACTTTCTGATACACTTGTACTTATAACACTAGTCACGATATGTACCAATATATCTTAGTGATAAGGACGTATTAATTAGTGTGCGTTACTGATAGAGACTTGCTAATCAATATATCTTACTAAGCGAAATATCTTGCATTTGTAATGACTGTCGTAACCTTTCCTATCGTCCTCCCCTGCAGATCGACATTCACCATATATGGGAAAGTGAAAGAACGGGTCAGACTAGGTCGTCACAGGGGAAAGTCAGGCAGTGCCCATGAGGGAAAGTTTTTTTTTTCGTGGTGGTGGGGGACTTCAGGAGGCTCAGGGGAGAAAGCAGTGATTATGAAAGAAGAAATGTCATGTT